TGTCCTTTAATTATTTTACTTTGTCTACTACTCTAAATTGCACCTGCTTATTTTTGTCATAATTAAAATTCGTTTTATCTCGCATTTCATTATCTTGCAATTCATGACATGTTATTCTTTTAAACGAAATCGTTACACTATGTATAGCAGACCTGGGCTCATTTGCAATGACATTATTTAAAATATTATTTCAAACAACATGTTATTTTATTTCTTATACTTATTTTCCCACCTGTGATCACTTTTGAAATATTATTTCAAAGAATGTATTATTTTATTTTATAATTGTTTGAAATAATCATTTTTTTTTTTTGAGACAACTGTGATATTCTTCTTGGAAATTATCACATTTAATTATCAGCTTTAAGTCTGGTTTCCGCAAGATAAAAGGACTCATCTGACTATGTCATATGATTATCCGATAATAAGAAACATTTTTCTGAAGAATAACACCCCTTTTCCATCTTCCGCGGCAATGGATCATTATCTTCTTTCGCGACAATATTAGACAAACAAAAATCTGTTAAGGATGATCTTTTATGATAGACCTTTTGCTGAAAGCAAATTGCTATAAAGATTTCTGAAAAAAATCTTTTTGCTGCATATTATTTAGAAGATTATTTCTTTTGTCATAGATCAATTAAAAAGTAAGGACATTATTCATTATTTGAAATTGCTATTATTTTAAATAATATTATTTTATTTTTATATGATATTAGTTTTAGTTTTAAATAAAGTATTTTCTAACGACATTGAAGATGACGGTTTCAAACGGATTATTTAAAATCGTTATTTCTTATTTTCATTTCAAATAAAATTTATCCAGATCTGATCATAACATGCCTAATTAGTTGAACTGCGTAGGAGAATACGTATTCGCGTACTAATACTACTTAAAATTGAAAACTGTCAATCGGACAGCAGTATACGATAAACAGTTTCTCCTATACGGACCAAGTGTGTCGGCTCGATAGCGAGGTTAGCGTTTTGTGGGCCGTGCGTGTGACCAATTAATTTCCCAGGCATGCGCTATGAAGATATTTATCACAAATACAATACTTGTAGATCCACGGATAACTAACTAACCTACGGTTTTTTTACTACGTTCTGTCTTTATCTTACACGTAAATTTCTCGGCGAGGCAGGGATTTTAAGAAATAAGATCTGCATGTTATGAACGTGT